AAAGGAAAATATTTCCAGTAACTTACACTAAAACCCCTCTACATATGGAAATGGTACAGTCCCTTTGCATCAGCTCCATGTGACAGCACATGAATAGGAGGAAAAGAGAGTTGACTCATTGAGAGAAGAACCGGCTTTCAAAAAAAAAAAATACAGGTTAAGGCGCAGGATAGCCGTTTTATTTTCGTAATTAATTTTTTCGTTAATACATATTTATTTTTTGTGTTTTTAAGCTTAATTTTAGCTGTTTTAGGGCACAATCCAGCATATAGCGGCAACTGTACAGAGTTTGAAGCTGTATCGAGGCACGTTATGTATCAAAGTTCGGTCAGGCTGTGCTCCACCCTGCTACAAAGAGACATCCCGGTGCTTCGTGTCTCTGCCCTCGGGTCGCCGGTCAAGAAAGCGGCGACACTGAAGAGATCTTCTTCCCCGGGGCCGCGGTACTGCCACTCGGTCTGTGCCGACAACTTGAGCAGCAGGACCAGCGTGCCGGCAGCGCCCACCGGGCTGGTGTCTCTCAGGGCAGGTGAGTCCGGAAGGAGGCCCTACTAGTACTAGTACTACCTCTGGCAGTGGCTTTTGAACTAGTTGTCACGATTTAACAAAAATGAGTTTTTCCATAAACACTAAAAAGACGAAAACAAGTCTTCTAGTCTATATCGATTTTACATGTGATACGTATCTTGCACATGAGCAAACGCTAAACAATTAAGCGAGGCTGCGAATGGAAAATTGAAATATGGTTAGTCTACTGACGTGTTCGTTTTTAGTACAATTCAGGTAATTACTATGCGTGCTAGGTAGTGTGAATTGTATAGCTTGGCGAGATTGTGCTTTATGCCGCTTTGTTCTTAAAGAAAACGTGTAGAATGTGTACATCTGAAAATGATTTAGATGGGATGTGACTTTTGACGCTTGCGGCCCCTTTTCAGAAGATATTGGCATCCCGTCTGAACTTTTAACCTACTCCCCACCTCGCAACCTTCGCTCTTCTAATTCTGCCCTCCTTACTGTCCCCCAAGCCCATCTACATTGTATGGGGGGCAGGGCCTTCTCCTGTTATGCCCCCAAGCTCTGGAACTCTGTGCCCAAGGATATCAGAGAGTCACCTTCTCTAAACTCCTTCAAATCCAGACTCAAAACCCTCTTCTTCAGAAAAGCCTTTACTTAACTGGTTCCATTCTTCACCCCTCTGCTCTTCTTAGTACCACCATCCACGGTCTCCTTTGTATATTTTAATTGTGTATTCATTATATACATTATATACATTTAATCTTATGTATTCTTTTTATTTATTGTTGTATTCTTCTTATTTATTGTTATTGTCGTCCTGTAAAGCGCTTTGAGAAGCCACCTTTAAAGGTGCTATATA